GTTAGCATGGTTGCCGCATGGATTTTCTGCAAAACGGACGGACTCGTTGTGGACGTTAACATGGTTGCCACATGGATGCTCTGCAAAAACGGACGGAGTCTTTCTGGACGTGAACATGATTGCCACATGGATGCTCTGCAAGATCGGACGGAGTCTTTCTGGACGTTAACATGGTTGCCACGTGGACGTTAACATGGTTGCCACATGGATGCTCTGCAATAACGTTATCATGGTTGCCAGCCACATGGATGCTTTCTGGCAAAGAACGGAGTCATAACGACGAGAGTCTGCGAAAGCATCGAAACACTAAGAAAAATACGGCGAATCACCCGTAAAAATGCAGTCCAAACGGCTTTTCCAGCCTAAAATGAGCAAAAGAGCAAGAACGAACAAAAACAAGAAGAGAAGAAACGTTCAAAAACCCGAGGAACGCACGCCAGACAGTAAAATGTCGAAGCAGGAAGAACGAAAAGATGCCGAAAATGGGTCGCGGGGCGGTGTCAGCCAGCTGGCAAGCACTACAACGCAGCTGCTAGTGGTGCTCATGTTGCTGATTTGCGGCAGGGTGGTGATGCTTGCGGTGGTGGTGGCAGAGGCTTCTGTGATGGCGCTGGTGCTGCTGCTCCTGTAGCTGCGGTAAATGAGTCGTAGCAACAGTAGGTGTACCGTAGCAGCAGCAGTTGCAGCAGTAGACATAGCAGTTTGCGTACCCCGGTATAGCTTCGATCCGCCTCTCCGACTCGACGACATCACGTCAAGTTTCATGTATGCCGCCCAAGTGTTGAGGAGCCCAGAATTGCCAGTCTAACTCAGGCATATCCTCAACCGGCGCGAGCTGCGCCACAGGCATACTATGCTCAGCAGGCTCGCGGAACATATGCACGGCATTTGCACACTACTGGCTGCATCCCCTGGTCTTTCGTACCGGCCTGGCTGTCAAATCAGTGCCAAGGCTTGCCTTGGGAATCCACCGCTTCCAGTTATTCTTGTTGATTCACGCTGTCCCAGACTCCAGAACACTCTAGTCATGTTTCCCATGCATGTGCGTGAAGAGAATAGTAGCAAGAAGCACCCGAACAGCGGCGCGGCAATGCTCAATGCTCCGCAGTACTGGAGACTATCCGACACCAAAGCCGCATTTTTGAGCGACTTCCTGTCAACCAATAGGTATCGGTTAACGGCACAGTGCATAAAGACACGCACACATGGGAAAATCATAGGCAAAAGATAGCAAAAGCCTACCACCACCTCGACAGATGTGGCTCAGGCCATGCCCGCGTACTATGCTCCACAGGCGTGCAGCCTTTGGGAGTCTTCTCACCTTGCATATTCGGAGCGTGGAGACATGTCAGGTCGCCGACCCAGCCGGAGTGGGTGTCGCCGGACCTTGTTAGCCAGAAGTGGCCAGCTTCGGTGCACTTGTACACTATCGGCTCCGGTGTGGCTGCGCATTGAGAAACTCTGCACTAGAATCACTAGAAGTGACTGCACAGAGGGCCAATAGGGCAGCCATCGGGCCATGAGCCACAACGAGCTGCTATCAGGGAGCGTGCTGAGCACGTAAGGCCTTCTCACCGCGGACGTGCCCTGACGAGGCTTCCAGACGGAATGGCAATGCCTTTAGCACAGGCGCACGTCCCATCGCCAATGAACTTTTTTGGCAGGTCATAAAGTCTTTGACAGGTCAGCGAACTACGCAGGACTAATTCAGCGAGCTGTTACGACAGCCCCGCATATTTCTTATGTATATTAGGATGAGTCGACTGCTGATGAGTCGGCTCACCCGACGGCTGTACTGTCAGCTTCTGTGGCCGAAACGCGCAATGCTCCTGCACGAAGACGAAGTTGTGTTTGTAGTAGGTGCGGCGTCCTGAGCTCTGCCTTATTGTGTCAAAGCTTTTTAGAGAGGCTGTGTGATGACAGCACATATATCGGACGATCGAGTTCGTTGCCATGGCTGCCAGCTGCCCCAGTGTGCCGGAACTTCGTGAAGCGCTCGCGAAGGCCGAAGCTCAGCATGCTGACAATCAGGACGGCATCGCGGAATGGTATGGTATAGATCGGGCTCGAATTCTTGCGGTCGTGGGTCTGCTTGCTTGCATTAGCTTTTGTATTTTCAAGCGCAAGGCCAACGATTCGCTTGCATCTGGGGGACGTGAGAAAGTAGCACGGGAAGGAGTCTTGCTCTCCAGGAAGCCCTACAAACTGCCGGGCATCAGGGACAACATCTGCTGGCTGAGGAGCAAGCGCTGCGGCAGAGCTTGGAATCGCGGCACAAGTGCATGTGGGTCATGTCGGGAGGTCTGCCGAGAGATGAGGTTCCGTGTCTCCTGTTCAGTTTCGTTTGCACGGAGGAGTCGGTCATTGTGCATGCAATGCCGGGGAACTCCAACATCATGTCTACAGCAACGAATCCCAATAGCCTCAAGTCGGTGATCCGCCATGCACATTGGTGGAAACCTGCCCAACTCGAGTTTGCTGGATGCAAATCATGGAATACGCGTGCCCTGCTAGATTGCCTCAGGGGAACATGCGCTGTAAGAGCTGCGCTCCTCGAGTTGCATCCTTGCAGGGCTCCTGCCAGTCCCCACATCTCATGGTTTCAGCAGTGCGTACTTACATTGAAGTCTGGTGTACACTGAAGTCGCTACACTAATTCGGTCCTGACTGCTCAGGAGTCTTGTCGGCAAGAGCTGGAGCAGGCCGCAGAGGAGCGATCCACGCCCGTCTCTGAGAAACGGCCGCAAGCCAGGGCCCAGCATGAGCTGGAGCGACTCCAACTTCGGAACCAGCTCATGGCAGAGGAGTTGGAGGAACACGAGAATGCAAGATCCCGGTCGATCTCCACGCCACGCCGCCACCGGGGCAAATCGCAAAGTGAGGATGGTCGGGTGCGGCTTCAAGAACTTAACCAGGAGCTGGCAGAGATCAAGACTGCAGAAGAGGACGGGATTGCAGCATCTTCGGAGAAAGGTTGCTTCTATCTTCGTTTTTGTTTACCTCTGCCTCTACCGGAAAAGCCCCTGTCCTAGGAGGCTGCGCGTGGTTGGGCGCAGGCGGAGCGCCTGCTGGCTTCGGAGGTTCTGGAGGCTGAGGAGTCCGAGGCGAAAATGCTGAAGCAGATGAGAGAGAAGCTAAAGCAGATCAAGGAAAGGAATGATCTCTTAAAGGAGGAGCTGCGAAGCGAAGAGGCCAAGACGCAAGGAAAAACACTTTCTTTGCAGACGGCTGTCGGGCAGCTACGTGCAGAGCTGAAGTGCTGGAGCACGGGCGGCGGGAGCCCTTCCCACTCCCAAAATCGTCATGGCCATGGCTCCAGTGCAGGGAGCGAGGTTTGGAGCGGCCGTGCCTCTGAGAGCTCTTTGGGCTCCGGCTCGCATGGCTCAGAAAACTCACGGGGCTCACGAGGCTCAGAAAACTCCGAGTCCCAGGGTTTGAACGGCGGCCAGCGGAAGCCTCGGAGGCGCCCCACCTCCAGCTTCAAGCCTCTGGAGCAAATGGTGGCCACCAAACCCACGGAGACCCGTAGCGAACACCACGAAAAGGACGAGACGGAGACCTCGAGCGCCTCCACGGCACTGCGCTCTTTGCGGAGCTCGGTCTCAGGGCTTATGGACGACGCACTGCTCCGTGTAGGCGAGCTGCTGCAAGACTCGGGCAGCACGGTCAAGGAGAGCAAGATGGAGCCTATTGCAGAGACAAAGTTCGAGCAAGAGGACGTAAGTGAAGGCTCGGCGGAAGCGCTGACTGATTTCTGGAAGGGGAACCACCGGGAGAGTGCGTCAGCAGCTTTTGCTCATTTCGGGGCATTGCTGCAACAGCAAGTGAGCAGCGCGGCAGAGATGGCAGCTACCGCCATGCCCAGCCGGGGTTGAGCGGTACAGCTGGTCCTGGTGATACAGGTGAGGAAGAAGAACGCATGAAGCTCCGAAGCGCCGAACTTGCTTGCAAAACAGCGTTGGCTGTCAGGCACTGACTGCAGATCCCATCCCGAACTTGAGCTCCGCTGCATGGGCGTCCACTGTACCTCCGCCACGGCAATTCCACAAGCGTAGCCAGGAAAGTGAAGGAGACACCCTGGGACACCAAGATGCGCTCTGTGGAGGAGCTACGCGACATCACGCGGCAAGTCTGCAGGACATCCCGTCACCCATCGTGGCTTGGTAGTTTAAGGCTGTGTAAGGTAAGACCGTATGAGATCCTTGTTTGTGCCGACCTCGGTCAGCATGAAGGTTCTCAGGGTACATGCAATATGCAAAGGGCCATCACCGCCCAGACGCGACAGCCAAACAGCATGCCTTTGTCGCTGCAAGTCCGGCTTCCTCCACTCTTGCTGTTTCAGAAGCACTCATGCACTCTGTCACCGATGCCATACTGGATGTAGCGGCTTGCAGGAAACATGCATCCTGTTCCCAACCCACATTATGTGCTCGCTGCAGTCCCTGGAGGCACATACTAGCAAGTAGTAGTTAGTACAGCAAAAACCTGTGCAAGTGTGCCACTGCAAAATACTAAGCGAAGCAGATGATGTGGCGTGTGCGGAGACCCTGGATTCTGTTGCCGTGCCTTGCACTTGCGTGCAGCTTCAACTGGCAAAGTTCCGGGTCGAGCAGCGCCTTCGCCGGCGGCCGGCAAGAACGGCGCACGCACCGTCCCATCACGCCTGTGCGTGCGGCACCGACAGAGGCGGCCCGAGAGGAGCTGCGCGACGAGACCCGCCTTCTGCGAGAGACGGTGACAGATCTGGTTTCGGAGGTAGCCAAGCTGCACCGGAGAAGCTTGAGAGTTGATGCCAGACTCTCCTTCGCAAGCTGTTCCGGAGAGAGCGAAGGGGTAAAAGAGCGAACAAGAGCGCAAAAGACGAGCGAATGTGAGAGGGCCGAGCAGCTTGTCTCGCAGGTCCGCCTGCTCCGTCAAGAGCTCACAGGCGAAATCCCGGCCGAGACTGCACCAGTGGCACCCACACGCTCGGAGACACCAGAAGCGAAGATCCCGGTGGCCCCCGTGCCGGCCAGTCAGGCTGTGGCGGGGAGAGACGGGTTGCAGAGTGGACCTAAAGATCAGGGTCTCAGAGTTGGAAGCGCTTCACCTCCCATTGTGTGGTTGAGCCAGGCTTGCTTGTCGTGTTTGTACTCGATCTTCGACGAAGAAAGCTGAGCCTTCCTTGTTGCACAGGGGTTGGAGCCGGCAGCTTCAGCCCAACCCCATAATCTCTTGAACTTCAGGCTTCGTCAGTGACAGCCTCGCGAGCAGCAAAGGCCAGCAGCAAGGGACCGCCCATTGGGACCACTGCCGTCAAAGTCGTCAGCGCCGGCGGCGATGCAGGGGACATTGCAGACTTTTTCCTGGAAGATCAGCAAGTACCGATTGGCGGTATGTCGAACCGGCGCGGGTTGAATGTGGTGGTGATTGACTCCTCAGCCGGGCATTTGCTGTCTGCGAAGACTTATGACATTTGGGGAAACCCACTAGAAGAGAACCGCAGACTGGCAAAGGACCTTAGAGCCGTGGAGGAGGACAGATCAGCTTTGATCAAAAAGCACCGTTAGATCGTCACTGGGTCGAGTCAAGTCACAGTGCATCTCAGATGAGATCGGCCGAAGATCTTAAATCGAAGCTGTGCGCGTGCACTGCAGGACAACATCGTCCTGGTAGCCTTGAAGGATTCGGGCGGAGAGAATCTGAATTGCATCAAGACCTGAAGCGAACTGCTCAGCCGCAGCTCGAATATGCCCCAGATTGGCAATTGAGCTCGTGCCTGAACTGAGTCAAGTAAGGAATTTGGACGGCGAAGCTCTCCACGCACTGCAAGGGCTTGGCGCAACTCTGGAAGGGCGTTTGGCTTTCCGACAGGGCTATGCGCTCATAGGCGCAACAGCTTCCGGAGCCTTTCCCATATGATCGGGCATTTTGCCGGTAGCAACAGCAATGTCAATGTGAAATAGGGTCGTTTGAAGGATTCCTTGAGAATTGGTGAATTCAGCAACAGAAGCTTTGATTCATGTGTTGTCCAGCAGGGGGTTGTAGACTAGCGGAAGATGCGACGCCCATCTAACCGCCTCTCTAGAGCGCCATTCGAAGATTCTGTCGAGCTTTGCATCACAGCAAACAAGACCTTTGCCGAGCTTCGCGCAGGTGTGAAGGACGGGGAAGCCCTGGCGGAGAGAAAGGGACCTATGGTTATGGCAGAGGCGGGAACTCCGGGTTCCGTTCAATCGTGGCAAGGCGTAACAGACGAAGTCCTCCACAGGGTGTCATGCGACAGTGCTACAGTCCTAGAAGTCGTAACGATCACGGGCAGACTTATGAACATGCAACTTCCTTCGTGGCGTGTAGACCTGGTTTGGCCTCACTGCCAAGCAGGGGTGGCTGGGGTTTGAGTTACAGGCAGTCTTGAAGCAATGCTGTTGGCAGAGGCCAAGCTGCCCTTCGCGGTGCGGCCGCCACAGGCCCCGGTGAGGGCTGCGCGCTGACTTCGACGAAGCCCGGGAAGAAGATCTCATCGAGTCTCTTATGAGAGGATGTGCCATCCTCCAAGTTCGCCACCAACGTGGCTTTGGGACCACGTCCCCACGCGTCTTGGTGCGCCAAGTGTTTTGTTGGACTACGCACAGCCTCTTAGGTCCCTGCGTGGCCAGGAAGCTTACTTATGTAGGATTCCTGATTTCGACAGCCCAACGTGCGTCGACTTCACGTGCGAACGGGGAGGCCTCAAGCTTCAGATCCCTGGCGCCGATTTTGACAGGTTCCCGAGTTCCCGAAGCGAAAATGGAAGAAGCAGAGAGAGAGAGAGAGAGAGGTAGTGGAACTTCCCCTGCCCACAACCCTGACGAAAGAAAGAGAGAGAGAGAGAGAGAGAGAGGGGGGTTCCCCTAGCCCATAACCCTGACGAAAGAAAGACCGCCTCACCTATTCATGCCATGCGCTCTTCGCTGTGGCTCTGAACCTGTACATCACTGTAGTAGGAAGAGTACCATATGCTGTCCATCGTGTCTAGGCGAGACCTCTGTATTGCTCACGGGCATCCGAACAGGTTCGATCCGCACAAAGGTCCTGGACATGTTTCATTTAGTAGAAGAATTGAGAGCATGAGCAGAAGCATGAGCGGCTTGCTGGACGAGGTTGGAAGTCGCAAGGATGAAGTCGAGACTTCCTTGCAGAAGCTGAGGGATCTCGCCTTAGGCGAGGGCGAGGGCAGGGAAGCGGATGCAGAGGCCGATAAGGAGGAAGCCCTCGGGGCGGTGCTGGAGGGCCTGGAGGCCGCCACGCTTCGCAGCAGCACCTGCCAGCGCCGCTTCCTTCAGCTCGACGGGCCCCAGCTGCTTCTGACCGGTATGGCAGCGCACCTTGAGAACATGAAGATACAGCTCATCTCCTGCCGCATTCTGCAGCATTTGGCTTCCTTGGTGTCTTTGGATGCCGCAGAAGTCTTGGCAGACTTTGGGGCCTGTGAGGCCATCCAAAAGGCATTGGAGGCACACCCAAACGTTGCGGCTTTGCACCAGGCGGCTTTGCAGGCCTTAGAGCTCCTCGCCTTCACCGGAACCGAAGCCCGTCTTAAGGCTCTTCGCTGCGGCTGTCCCGAAGTGGTGGTCGCTTCCTTGAAGCGTTTTCGGACCGATGCCCACGTTCAGCAGGCCTGCCTGGCAGCCTTGCAGGCCCTGCTAGAAGACTCTGCAGTGGGTACATCGACGGATTCAGAGGAAGAGTCCAATTGTCAGGAGATCGTGGCAAAGTTGGGCGGCATCGCAGCAATCGTGGGAGCGCTTGCAGACCACCGCGAAGATGCGCAGCTCCAGTATTGGGGCCAGGTAGTGCTGTCAGCACTTTGTCACGATAATGTGAAGCTGCGCGCTGAAGCGCAGCAGAAGTGCCACTGGCAGCGCATCGAGCACCTTCGCTGCATGCCAGTGTACAAGTTTTGAACTTTCAGTAGCCTTGGTCCCCGTGCCGACTTCATCTCACTTTGGTGAAGCAGATGCAGGAGCATCACATGTATTCAGCATGTTCCTTTTACAACTCAGCCTGCAACTCAGGGTTGACTTCGACATCTGAGCCACGCCTGCAGCCTCCGCGTCATGCCTACGCCTAAGACAGGCTGAGGCACGGCAGACCGCTCCATTCGCCTTCAAAACCAGGCCTGCGCCGTGTGGTTGCCCATTGCCTTGCAGACGTTAGGTAGGAGTCAGTTTTCTGCGAAATACCGCCCAGTTGATCTTTTTGCACTCAGCTGTACAGAGAGACTGTCGGGGCAAGGTCATGCATGCTTCAGCCCACACCACAGCCAGCTTGTAGTTTGTTGAAGTCTGTCTTAAGCAGAGGCAACTGCAGAGTTGAGAAGTGTTTTATTTATTGCATCAGCATATTTCGCGGCTTCTCATCATGGCGTCGTTGGACGAGGAAGGCGACAATGCGATCGGACAGAAGGCAGGAGGATTGGCGAGGTTCGTGCACGGCAAAGCACTTGGCTTCGTAGATCAGTGCCTCAAGTCTGCCTCCGGCGACTTTCAAAAGCAGACAGAACTGCGATGACCGTCGATGTCCTGTTCTGGATCATTTGTGAGCTTGCACACGCCTGCTCCACAGGTCAAGGATATGTACTACGAAATCATCAACGGAAAAGGACTGCTGCAACATGCCCCCATTCAGAACTTTCAGCGGTAGTATTGATCGCAGAAGTTGGCAGCCATATGACACCCGGTGAGTTAGGAGGCAAAAGATCATACGAGGAGGAAGCAAACGAGGTCATTCCGCGATGAGATGCTGTGGAATCTATGCTCTCTGGTGTGGAGATTCGCAGATCTTCGATCTGCAGCTGGCTGCGAGGCCGATGAGAAGAAGCACGTGAAGAAGCTTAATAAGCGAAGAGCTAAGGAGCTTCGGAGCCAGCAAGAGACTTGAATTCAAATCGGTGAGGGTACATACTGCTCTCATGCAGGAGCTGCGAAAGCAGCAGAAGAAACTGCAGGCAAATTTCGCACAGCAGCGCAGCTTTAGGGTACTTGAATTCACGTCATGTGCAGGATGAGATGGCGAAGGCCCAATCCCACCGCCGTTTCGGGTCTGACTCCGCGAGAGCTGCAAAGTTACTGTGCTGCCAGACGGAGCATGTCAGGGGTAGTCGTGTAGTCAAAGAAGGTTTGTCGATTTTTAATTCCCGTTCATCGCGTGCTGCATGTCCAGGCCGACTCGGACGATGATATCCCATTCTTCATGCAGGACACCTTATCAGCTTTGCAGTGATGTTTTGGAGTTGCCGCATTTCAGATAAAGTCCTCAGATGTTGAGCCGTTGAACAGAGAGAGAGAGAGAGAGAGAGAGAGAGACAGCAACGTCTGGGAAGAACCCAGAGTGGATGGCAACCTTCAAGTTCTCTTCTTTCGCATCCAACGCTTTTGAGTCGCAGGTTGCCTTCATGTTGCTTTGAGCACAATCTCACTCTTGGCCCCGCAACAGTCGGGGGCGCT